TGTTCCTAATGTTCATTTTTATAAGTTCATTAATAGATTTTCTAATTAACATTTGACAGCTCGTATGGGCAGCATAAATATGATTTGAGAAGCAGATAGTGTGGATTCTTAAGGATTAGTTAGGTTGTTTCATTTTATTACTACATGTTGCGGCATCTGGAACAATTCTAGCCATACCAAAATTGTATTCTTACAGGGGATTAACAGGAAGAAGGCTATTTTCCAAGATATTTGAGAAGCATTGAAAGAGAATGTTGGTCAGTGCTATCTTTTACTTTTTGGTATGCAGTAGGCGTTTAGAGATAGAAGTACATAATACTGAAGGGCATGTGTCAAAAAAGGGCATGTCTTTTCATTTTCTTGTTGGTTACACCAGTTTCCCTTTATACTATGTAATTAAATGAGTTAAATCAACTTGATTCAATAAAAGCTTTTTCATCAGATGGTGAAAAAGATTCAGTGTTTTAAGATTCCAATTGTGAAGATCTTTTAAGATCTGCACCATCACTTCATCAAATTCTCTTTACAGTGGTTTATATCCATAATCATCTACATTATTGAATCCCATACATATCTTCCCCCTGTCAGTGGACAAAAGGAGGCCATTCATCAGCATGAGAAATGCCATTCCCAAGTTTGCCTGAGAAAATGAGGGTTAGCTGGTGAGCTATAATTTGCTATAAAGTCAGGTAATGACTTCTTGGCTGTTGGTCAAATGATTGCATAGTCTAAATTGAATGGTACATTTTCTTTTTCAAAGGGGGATTAGTTATTAGGGTTGTGGAAAGCTTTGATAGCTGATTTCAATTTGGAGGAGGTTTGGCCCAATTTGGCGGCCAAATCTCCAAATCTGAATCAAATCAGGAGACCCATTAAAAGGTCCAAATCGAATCAGAAGCCTCTGAATTGATTTGGAGAGATTTGGTGCCAATTCAGAGATTCAGCCATAGAATATACAGGCAGCAGTCTTCCACAACACAGGATGCAGCTGCCTTCAGCTACTAAGTCTGTTGTGGTGGGCGGAGGGGAGAGACAGATCAATGCCCCCACAGTGAGGGAGGGATTGGGGCTGGGACAAGCTGCCCAGGCGGGGCTAGCTGCCCAGGTGGGGCTGGGGAGTGTGGGACTTTGGGAAGGCAGCTTTTGCCACTGTGCACTGCCGCGCGCTGCTGGTCTGGGAGCAGGTCTTCTGGCAGCTCTCGCCACTGGTCCAGGAGGTCATGGGAGCAGGTGTGTGCCCCCAGATCTGCATGGGGTGGACTGGGCTGGGCTGCAGTCTGGGTGTCTAGCCCCAGCTGCATCCTGGAGTGCAGCCCTGACTCTGCGTGCCCTGCAGAGCACAGTGAAGTAGGAGCTATGGGGGGGCTGCAGCCACCCTAAAATTCCCCGTACCTCCTGCCACTGGCCCTGCCCCAGTCCAGGTGTACGTGTACACACCCACCCCTATGCCCTACTGCTGCTTGCCCCGCCAGAGTGAAGCTGTGGCTTATCCGGGAGGTGCAGGGAGGCTAGGCAAGTGATGGGAGGGCATAGCCCCTGCTCCCGGTGCCTTCCGCTGTCTGTCTGGGGCACACGCCTGCTCCTGTGCCCTCCCAAACAGAAGAGCAAGTTCCAGACTGGCGGTGTGCAGTGGCACACAGCGGCAGGAGCTCTGCTCCCTGAGTCCCATGCCTTCCTGCCCCGGCTGGCCAGCTTGTCCCATCCCTGATCCCTCCCTCACTGTGGGGACATTGATCTGCCCCCTGCATGCCCCTTCCCTCCCTACCTCCTCTCACCACAACAGACTTACCAGCTGGAGGCAGCTATGTCCAGCGTGATGGAGGACTGCTGCCTGTATAGTCTTTGGCCAAATCTCCAAATTGAATCAGGACAATGAGTCAAATCACTGAATCAGATCACTGTCAATCTGAATCCAAATTGAGTACTTTCTGCTTTGCGCAAAGGCCTATTAATTGTCTCTGACAGGAGAGAACTCATGGTCCTCATTGACCTTCCTTATCATGAAGAGTGAATGTCTGAGTTGCCTCTGGTGGCTAAAGTGTCCTGTAGTATATTGAGTGTCCTTTGCTACACAAATGGGAACAGTGGGAACTGATTGCAGTCCTGCTTTTATACGCTTCCTGTTTTTCAGTGTCATCTGTACAATAAGGTGATACGTTCTTCACAGCATGTTGTACTTACTTCTGGATTACTTTGAGGGCAGTTGGGGATGAGGAAGGAGACTTGCCCTCAAAGTGGTCGAGAATTGGCTTCTGCAATGTCTAAGAAAAATTCTCTTTCCTTCCCTTAAAATTATGGATGGGCAGGTTTTTTTGTTGACATTTGTCTGCTGCTCACTTCTGTTTACCCACCAATGCCCTAGTTTGCTTCCAGTTTTTTTACTTATTATCAAAGAAGGTAAAAATCTGCTGTATTATATATTAATTTCTTTATTAAATTTATACGCTGCCTTTCCCCAGAAAGCCTTGGCATGGTTTACAATGAAAGACAAAATAACTTATAAAATAACAGAATCAAATACAAAATAAGATAGTATACAACAAAACAAACTCCCCAAATAAAAAAAAGAACTGCTCCCCCTTCCCTTGCCCCTACAGTTCCCTTCCTGTAGAAGAGAGAACAACTTAGGTGTCATTGTCTGTTGCTATGCTCTTTCTACAGTTATAATGTTAGAACCGATCTTTTTATCTTTGACTGTTTGGTGGGACATGACTCGATTATGAATGTAGTTAGTGCTGTAAACTGATGAACATGGACCCCAGTTAGTTTGGCTGTTGTGCTTCTTGGAAATTTGGGCCCTTATATCTCCTTGGAAGAGGAAATGTGGCTCCTCTGGGGCTAAGGGAACCACCTCTTTGTGAACTCTTAATCTAAGTATCAGATCTAATGTGTTCCAGGTTTCAGGCATGAATCCAGAGATAGCTTGTCGTAAACTCCCAGTACACAGTTTGACAGACTGTGTCTCACAGCATCAGAGGTGTGTATATGGTCCGTGTGGTACTTGAGGATCACTCGAGATAACATGCACTGGCAAGATCACTGTTAGTATCTCTACCAATTTCTACAGAAAACCTTTAGAGTGGAAATCTGTAGAGTAGTGGGAAGTGTGTCTGGTTCTGTCTGTTGACTAGAAGGTTAAGTAGATAAATTTAAATGATTTTTTTGGATGCCACTCTTCTTGTCTAGTTCAGTGTTTTATTGTGCAAGACATGGTTTTTATGTTGCCAGGTGAAGGTGGGAATTTTAAGTGCTATGAAGACTTGACTGGTAGAGAATTGATGGTAACGAATCTCCACCCTCATTGAAATCAGGAGCTTAAGCTCTACTTCTGTACAGCTTCATCGTCGTCTCATATCTTGTGGTTACATTTGAAGTGTGCTAGGCTAATATTAGGTATTTCTTTTAGTATTTTTTGTTGGTATCTGTTTCCAGTGCTTTATTTTTCTGTAAAGTCCTTGCATTGTACAGGAGCAAGTGGTTTATAATGTTGCCATCCTGTAATGAGGGTAGGGGTTAAAGGATGAACCAGATATCATGAGTGACAAAACTCTAGTCCTTCTCTGGGCATTTTGTGTTGCCTATCATACAGGAAAGTGAGGGGCAGGAAAATGAAGGACTGGTTGTAGGTCTGTTGTAGAAAAATGTATCAGGAAACTAACCACTCAGAAGCATTTTTTCTTTTGCTTTATGCATTATAAAGCCCAAGCTGCTACTCAGTTCTGGAGTGCCTGAAGTTTTGGTTCAAAAACAAGTTGCTAGTTTCACATCATATTTGAGACTCCTTTAAATTTGATCAGTCGAAGTTCATTATTCTTACGGGCACTACAGTTTTTCCATAAATAGCTTCATATGCAGAAAATAATCTGCCCTTGAGGCTTGTTTATCACTGTCCTTTCTAGTTTACCATCAGAGCTGCCATCAAAACAACAAAAAAAAAGTCCTGCTTTGAATTTCAGCTGTGTTTAAAATGCAGTGTCAGGTAAGCAATGCTGGCATTAGGAACCTTTCCTGTTGAAGTGAACAAGAGCATTTAATATGGAGTCACTACAAAATAGAGAACTTGGAAAGGATAAGCAAATGTAAAGATGTACAAAGTATAGGAAAGTAACTCGTGTTTTTATGGGTGCTGAACCTAAGATACTTTTAAGAAGGCCTGGTTTTCAGGGAAAGGTGCTTTAGGTGGCGTCTTGGGCATCTCTGGTGGGGCACCCAAAATCATTAGTCTCTTTTGAAAACTTGAGCAAAAGTACAAATACTGATAGCTAGGTAGACAGATTTAGTGAGGCTATAAAGTGTCAGAACATTAACAGTTACTTCGGAAAATATTAACTTTTAAAAATTGCTAAGTATGAAGTTGACTGGTAAGAGAAATAGGTGTTTGAGAGGGCTAAGTAGGATCTTACCTGTTCTAAAATCAGACAATTTAAAAGTAGGTGCATGCAGTGGAACTTTGTTCTTTTAAAGTATAGATTACATGATGTCTTCTGATCTTATCTCATTTATATTTTTATTAGTTGGCTCGCTATCACATGTATAATTTATTCAAAAAAGGAAATAAAATGCAACATTATCTTTTTTTTTCTTCTTAGTTATCACTGTGAAACTTGACCCTGGAACTTAATGTCAGAGGTTTTCTCTGTACCTGTAAAAAATTAGCTTTTGTTTCTAGGATATGATGCAAGCGGGATAAGCCAGTGTTAGAAAGCAAAAATGGAGCCAATAAAGAGGTTTTCTTATTGTAATAGCCAGTTTCTGTTTAATATCACTGAACAGGATGAGGTTTTGCAGAGTTTCTCATGGAAATAGCATCCATGGTACTAAAACGATTACCTCACTCTCAGTACCAGTGCCAAGCACTTAGCCCTACAGTGAACACACGGGGTTGATTTTCAACATGAAACAAGCCAGAAGTGTGGAATGACATATTCAGGTGACAGTTATGGTTCTATTGCCTGTAATTAGCACCTCTTAACATACAAACCTGCCTGTGCCTTTTCCAGGCTGTTGAAGCTCAAATACGAAGTTTTGGACAGACCCCTTCCCAACTGCTCATAGAGCCACATCCTCCAAGAAGTTCTGCCATGCAGGTGGTAAGTACCATGTTAACACTTTGCGACCCATTCATTGATAGCTTCTGCATTGCTGCTTTAAATATGTAGATCTTGATTTTTGATTTTGTGTATCTATAGAATGTAAAATTTGATACATTAAATTATAAAAACAACCTATGAGCGATGTGTTTGCAGGGTTGCTGACACATGCAGTGATTAATTAATTGCTATTGTCAATGTATTTGTTGTTACAGTGCTAGTGAGGGTTCCTAGAACAGAATATTTTCTTAAGTGTAACCCAAGAACACTTAACCAACTTAATTTGTTAAACTGTACTTGTGCAGGTGAGAGCCAGTCAGCAAAAAAGATGGTGTTATTAGTTCTTTGGCAGATCCCTTGAAATCTGTAGATTTAGGAGGCAACCTCCCTTTCCCACCTTCCCTCAGGCCTAGTCTTCCCCCCTGAAATCAGGATTGCTGGGCATTCATGAGCTGACACTTGCATAGTGAAAAATTTGATTCAGTGTATTTTTCAGTAATACTAGGGTGATAAAATCCAGGCACTAAGTATTAACATGTTTTCTATTTTAGCTCTACTTGTATTTAATATGGTTTTATTTTATAACCATTATTTTATTACCCATTACTTTCTGTTACTGTTATACACAGTTGCAAGATCTAAAATAGCATAATTTATGTAGCTATGGATCCCTGAAACAAACACTGTGCTAGCTGACAAGTCTTTTTAAATGTTACATGCCTCTGCTGGTCAAAGATGGATTGTGTTTTAAAAATTAAGTCTTAGTAGAGGAATTCTGTCTACCATGTAGTTAATGTAAAACCTGTCTGTGAAACTATTGTTGTTAGGTTAAAAATGTGACGGAAGAATGTTTTAGATGAATTATACAAAATCTAAAGTTTGTATAATATAACTAAAAACACTGTCCCATAGATACCTAAGGAACTGAAGTCTTCACAGCCAACTAATTTCTCGGCTGGGTCTAGTGACTTCCTTGCTACTAACTCTCAATCATATGAACAGCCACTATCATTGGGTTTTATCATGGTAGTGCATGGAGATAACCTCAGTAACTACTGAACATCGAATGGAAAGGTCCATTCAGTGAAGTTAATTTTTCCTTCAACTCCTGTAGCTTTTCAGAAGAGCCTACATGCAGAGACTGAAATGGATTTTATGGCTTACTTTACCAGTTTTTAGCTATTGACATAATTTTGCAGAACAGTTGTGTTAAGAATTTAAAATGCAACGTAAGAAGAAAATGGGGAAAATGTGAGCGAAAGTATGTTCTCAAAAGCACGTTTTATCATTATATTATTTACTAAAATTTCAAAGGTTTTTTTTCTGTGTGTGCACATGAATAGAGCAAAAATAAAGCCACTGTGTTCTGTATTTAAGTGCACAAGCCATAATATACACCAGGTGTAGTAATTAGCAGTCACACGAAGGCTGCCTATTTGTCTGGTTTTGCTGCTGTTGCTGTATCCCCCTGTGTTTTCACACCATCAGATAGCTGGATTTAATTGAGGCCACATCAGATGAGGCATTACTGACACCTTTAATTGAATGAGCATCCAGGGAGGATTAACTCATAATATTGATTGGCTTTTAGCCACTTGCTCAGAAGGGTGTCTGGGTAGCTTATTAGTTGCTTTTATTTACACCTTTATGCAAAGACTGTAAATAGGATAGTGCAATATGTTTTTCTAAGTACTCTTAATAACTTTTTAAAAAGGAGTGATAATAAAAATGCAAATGTATTTAATTTTTTTATTAGTTCTGTATACATATATATTAAATGTATGCATTTATGTACACACGTATGTGCTGAAGTATTGCAGGTGGAAAACAGCCAGGAACACTTCATCAATATATTTAAATTCTATAAAGAATACCAGTTTAGTTTTTAGGGAATAGACATACTAGGAAAAATATGGCTGATAGTGGACAATATGATGATAACTCTGTATTATTAGATATGAGACTTTCACTTTCTTTGGAAGGGAAAGCCAGGCAGTGAAAATAAGTGCATTAAGTATCTGCTAATTTCTTGGCTACAGAAGTACTTATTTGACATTCACATTATGTAGATTTCCTAAATTTAAGATAAACAATATTTTGTTTTGACTTTTTGCAGCAATCTTTAGGGGGGTTAGTTCTAAGCATCCCAATTTGTGAGTAACTCGCTCTCCTCCTGCATAAAAATACTGTATTCCTAGGAGTTAGGGGGTTCTTCTAGGAGGGAAAGGTATTTGCAATGTAATAGGGTGTTAACTTTGGTTCTGTGTATTTTATAAGCATGTTTCTTTACTACATTTAATTATGTTTACTTTGCAACACACTTACAATTAAGCCTCTCTCTTGTATTCAGAAGTGTTACTTCTGTGCAACATAAATACACATAGAGTAAACATCTACTGTATGTGTGTATATATAATTTATTTTAGTTTAATTTTTTTCTGTCTCACCGCCCCCCTTCCATTTGGCTTGTAAAGAATCTTAGTCCGCCAGCTAAATGCAGCTTGTCATTCCTGCCAACAGGACTTTCTTTTGCTCACTTGTTTGGCTACTGTGACCTTTGGCATTGCTTTCTGTGGTGTGCTGCAACTGTAGATATGAAACAAAATTCTATTGTCAGAGTCAGGCCATTGGAAATGTTGTAGTTTAACTTGCAGCCATCTGCAGTAAATGTTGACTTCAGATTTGTTGTTGTTCAGTATTTTCATCCTAATGGCAGACATGAAGAATGCCCACTCAATTTGATTGTTTCCCTTGGCCTCTCTGTTATTACTGTGTTTGCTTTCACTTGCAGTTGCTATTGGTTCTTGTATGTTTTAATCCAGTCTTCCTTCTCTTGTCCTGTCCTGTCTTCTTTCCCTCCCCTCCCCATTTCTTCTTTTTCCATGTATTTGGGTTCTTGTTGTGTGCACTCAACAGTATCTCCTCCTGCAGAGTCCATTGATGTTCACAGACCAAGCTCAACAGGATGTCATAATGGTCCTAAAGTTCCCGTCCAACTCCCCTGTCACTCACGTAGCAGCCAACACCCAGCCTGGCCTGGCAACTCCTGCTGTGATCACAGTCACTGCTAACAGGCTGTTTGCTGTAAACAAGTGGCACAATCTTCCTGGTAAGTAAAGTTCCAACAGTACCAGAAAGTGATATTTTTTTAAATATGGTCTGTTTCAAAATTGTTAGCAGAAATGTTTTAAATTAAAATAGAGAGCATTAATCCAGCTGTACTTATTGTGACATATTGTACGTGTTGCAAGTACACACTGTTAGGAAGCACTAAAATCCAAATGTTGAACAAACTATTCAGTGGAAATGGTTTTTTTGTTTACTCATTTTAACCAGAAACATCAAGTAACATGAAGAAAATGAGCAGTAGGCCACCACCTTAATATAATAAACAGTCACATGCATCCAATAGGCTAAACTGAAAACTATGGTGACATATGCTGTTGCCTTGTATATGCCCAGACATCCAAAAACCAAAGGCATTCAATTAGATCAGTGATTCTCTGGGGTATTTTGAGATCCTTTCAAGGGTGCTGTTGGGTGCCATGCAGTGTTAATACTTTTAGATGGGCTAACATGATTAATTTTCTGAGGAGTGACTTAAATCTATTGAGGTGCATTTCAAATTGATCAAGGGCTACCTTGAATCTAAAAACATGTAGAACCATTGAATTAGATACTTGAAGATATTTTCTGATTTAAGCAAAAAAGGCACAATATTTCTATAAGCACCCATGTTAATCTTTTTTTTCCTTTTAAATTTGTTAGTCTGTAATATATAGGCAGTTCTGTTTTGAACCCCAGGATTCTCCAGTCCTTATTGGATTCATCCTTCTAACCTAATTATAGTAGCCTCAATCCAGAACCACTAGCAATTAATTTCTAAAGCACCACAATGAATTGTTACATGGTCAAAGGCCATTCATTTAAAAAACAAAACAAATAAATAGCCTGGTCCATACATTAAGGGATTATCTCCTAATATGTGAAACATGGATTCATGCAAAGGTGTATGGACCCATATTCCTCCAGTTACATTCTGGGGGAAAAAATGAACCCCAGCATCCTGTTCTAACTATTGTTAAATTACTGATCAACAACATGTAAATGGTAACCTCAGTCAAACACCATTTTACCTGTGAAAGAAGCTCTTTATCTGGCTAACAGAACTGTGGATAATACTACCTGCATTTGGATGGAAATAGGAGGACAGCAGCCTTCCAAATTATTATGTGAGCACAACCTTCTTTTCAGTTGTCTGAGAGTCAGAAAACCTCTATGAGGTTATATGTTTTAGCAGTCATATTGGAAAAATACCCTTTAGGTGTTCCAAAATGATAGGCGTTGACTCTTTTTTCCCATACTTCTGCTGGATGATGATTTGTGCCAAAGCAACAAATGCTTGACATGGCAACCTCCATATCCTGGTTCTGTTCTGACCCCTGAAATGGCCATGCACTAAGCTAATCCTCCGAACCACTGTCACCTAAGAGCATTTCAGGAGCGTTCTCTTTGCAGAGAAATGGAGGTAATGGTGTGCATCAAAACCCCTTTCAGAACAACTACACTGATCACTACTCTAGGCTACTGTGGGTTACTTTTGGGAAAGATGGATGTAGCTTCCTGAAGTAGGCAGGGTAGTGCAATAAATACTTGGCATCTATGTCTATGATCATGAGAAACACTAGCCTTATGAGGCATCCTGACAGAAAAGTTCAGTTGGTTAATCACTGGGGTGTCACTGTTACTGTTAAAAAATCCCATACCTGCCTCTCTGCTAGTCTGGTACCTTTACCAACCAGGCACCCATTCCCAAGTAAACCCATCTAGACAGGGCAGGAACCTGTACTCTATTGGTATTTAATTGTACCAGTATTTATTTATTTCCATTTAAAGTGCATAATCAAGCTGGTGATGTTAATTATTTATAGTAAAATGTACTTTTCCAGGTTTTTGAGGAAATGTTAAGATTGATCTCTTATACTTGCTTGCACTTCAAAAGGTGTTTTGCCTTTATTTTATTGTAAGGGTGCAAGTAAAGCAAAGTTTGACTGAAACTGAAAGAAAACCAGGAAGAAAACATTTTAGTGATATACCAGATGTAGGTGTGTAGAATTATTTGTTTAGCTTTAGTCAGACTTGTGAATGAGTGCTTTTTGGAGATGGATGAAACATTAAATACAACGAGACCAGAAGATCCCTGTCTCCATCATAAACTGACATTTTTTAAAAGTCCTTTGTGTTTTGCTGTTCAAAGCAGGCTTTTAAAAAGTAAAGGGGGAAAAATACTATTTGCTACAGTCAGCAGATGGTTGTCACATTTTGTTTCCAGTGCTCTTTACCACTTAATTTTGTTTTGTTGCGACAGGAGAGGTTGCCAGTAAAGCATCTGCTCTAGCTTATGGCTCAGGATCGGAGCTGCTGCTGATGGCACAGATTCAGAATAGCACTAATCTAAAATAAATGTTTAATAAGCAGCCATGAAAGCACCTGGAATTTTTTTATTCAGTAAAGGCAGAAGAAACTTGGATGACTGAACAGTTGTGTGTAGGGATTGATTTATGAAAATTTATGTGGCTTAACATGTTAAAATAATGCAGAGTTTTAAAATATTCTTTCCTGAATTCCAGCTCATCAAGGTGCTGTACAGGACCAGCCATACCAGCTGCCAGTGGAAATCGATCCTCTCATAGGTCTGTCACTTCCTTCTCTCTTTGCGATTCATTAAGCTCTGTATGGTGGCCCTGAAGTGTAGATTACGGTTGTTTTTCACTTGCTGGTTGCTGGGAATGGAATTTTCCTGATAAACCATTTGCATGCAAATTGGAATGCAATGAGCTGTGGCTATGCTGGTATTTCATCAACTCCCCCTTGTTGGTTTGCCTAATTTGAACAGGCCTAGGACGTGTGTCAGTGAAAATTAATATGGATGCTGTAATAATGTGTGATTGAGAATGTGCATGAAGTACTGTCAGGATAATATTGGATCTTTTCATCACTCAGACTTGTTGATGAGCAGGAGCGAGGCACGTTATGATGAATTGGTGCACCGGTAATGTGATGGAGCTCCTTTGCCGCGGAAATTTTCATAATAACAGTGGGGTTCTTAACAGCACCGTGTTGTGAAAAATAAAACCATGGTGCCAGAGCTTCATCATTAAAGGAGATCAATCCTTTCTTCATAGACCTGCTGTTCAGGCTGAGGGGATTAATGTGCAATTGCAAAGCAGTTCCAAAGTTGAATTATATAGCCCAGCCAGTTTTAGTGTTAAGATATTAGTATTCATTTTTTCTAGGGCACTGCATCTTTTGGAGCGCCATCAGCAGTTAAATGTTTTTTCTTTTATTAAAAGGGGAGCAGAGTCATGCTTTTGTTTAAGTGCATATAATAGATTATTTTATGAATTGTTGAATTGGTGTTTTGCATTTTAACATGTGGGTCAGGGTTTTTTTACATTTATAAACCCTTATTTTTGGGAGGGAGTTTACTATGTGGCTATAATTCAGCTGCCTGCAACTTGGTTCATTATGTTGCCTTACAAGCAGTGTTTTAAAAACAGAAATAACAGGAATAACTTCCTCATTTTCTTTGTGACAGAAAAATATCAATTGTTTTTTAAAAATTTTTCATACTTAAAATGTAGCTCATTTAAAAAAAAACAAACCCTCTTATTCTCAGGCTAGTACTCTGTTGCATGAAAATGGGAGCTAGATAATTACCTTTGCATTAGGAAACCAAGAATAATCATTTATTCTTAATCTAGAGTTTTGCCTGAGTCTTGAAATGTGGTGGTATGGTATTCTTGCAAAGTAGCCAACTTACCATAGTAGAGTAAAATTACTTGTCTATTAGATCAATGGGAATTAATTATCCAAAATAATATGCACATCATAACTTAATAGGTACTGCATAATACCTGTCAATAAGACTGCAGTGGTTTCAAAACAGCCACTGAATTATATTGAATAAATTATATGATGACTAGAATACGTATGATGCATAAGCTAAATGCTATCAAGCCTCAGAAGAATCTAAACAGAAATTGGTGGATAATTTTAAAATTCAATTTTCCAAATATTTTATGGTATTTTTTCCTACATTTCTCTTATCTCAAGCCTACTTGTGTAGTAGAATGCTTAACATTTAAAACACTGAGGTAGAAACTAATAGTGTTGTATGAAACTTGATATTGTCATACATTCATATTTACATATAATGCCTGCATTTTGATAAATTTCAGTGTAAATGGAAAAATAAAAATCAGACATCAAAAGATGTTTAAAAAACACAGTTAAACACTGAAGGAATTCACGAAGATTTACAAAAGCTAGTATAATTTTGCTTGTCTGGCTACATTTTCCCCTTACCTATTATAAGGAGCATTGGAAAAAGAGATTCAGTTTAGATGAGCCTTTAAATTTTTACTATTTATCAAAACCATACATGCTATTCAGGTTAGCATTTCCAAAGAGAACATTTACCTTGAATTTTTTGTAATACAGACCCACTTAAAATAAATGCAAAAATCTCTGAAACTTGGTTTAAAGTTATTTTCCCCTCTATATCTGTCCATTTAATAAGTTTCTTAGGAGCACCCAAATTCCTTTGGACATATTTAAAAATAAAATGTTTAAAGGCTTTTTCCTAGTACTGTTAAGTACCTTCACTGGGCATATGCTAGTAATTGTATGGATAATATTAAAGGTTTCTAATTGTGACTAGACACATTTATCTAGAAATGGCACCTAAGAGAACCACAAAATTATACTTTTATGGTTGTAGCAGGAATCTTGTTGTAATCTTAGTCTTAAGAAGGGCTTCATGTTACTCTCCTTCTGCAGTTGCACAAGGAGGATGTTATAAAAAAGTAATGTTTGTTTTGGAATGAATTTTAGATCTTGGCATACAACACTTTCTGAATGACTGGTCCACAGCAAATCTTTGTGTTGATTGTTTCTTGGTTTTTGTGTGTTGTTGTTTCATAATAGTAATGCAGAGCATGCATTTATAGAGGACTATTATTACTTTGAGGCCTCAACTGAAATGCAGTCCTGTTGTTTTTCCTGTGAAAACACACAGTGATAATCCTTCTACTGAATTGTTTACCATATAAATAGGTAAGACACCAAAGGTTAGGAAGTGTTATCATCATTTTACAGACAAGGGAGACAAGACATGGAGATTACGCACTTGATCCAAAGCCCTATGAAAGTCTGTCTCCTGCATGGGTCTGTACTAGAGCTGGGGACTCAACTCTCCTGAGTCTGACTAGTGCCAAAACTAGAAAATCAAACTTTTTTCTTCCTGTTTTCGCTGTTCTCAAATGAATCTTCCACAAATCCCCACATGTGAGGAATACAATACTGCCAGAAAGCGCCCTCTCAATATAGGCTCAAATAAAAACCCTCAGACCTTCTCATAGATGGCTTAGTAGCAGTTGGTTCTAACTTCATCATTTGGGCTGAAGTTTCAGATCTTTCTAAATGTTTGAGCTATGTTTTTCCATGCTTTCTGCCTCTCAGGCATATTGTGTTTTTTGTTTCTTTTTAAAAGATTCTTTGGGCAAAATGGTTCAGTTGTTTCCAAGAATGAAGCCAGTGAAGAGTACATTATTTTTCCAAGGACAAATTCTGCTGAAATTAAAAAACAACCCCCCCTCTCCCAAACCACACTCATTCACTCTCTCTCTGTCTCTCTCTAGTGCTAACAACCCTTTTAGAGGATGGCTTTGAAATTTGGCAGGATAATAGCCTTTATGCCAAGGATGTGTCTTTTGCCATCCCTGTCACAATTGGGTTCAGATTTGGCCAAGTTATCATCCTTTGAAAGCAGAGATCACACAAGCTCAGTAGAATCCATTGGAATCTGGTGTATTTTTTTCTAAAGAATCTGTCTACACTAAATATGCTCCAGCATGGGGATGAGCAGGATGTTTCTGTAGTTATCAGTCTGGGGTGCAGTGTGCCATACCGAAGCCAGGTCTCAGCCACTGACCTGAGAGCCAGATGACTCACTATTGGGCTCCGTAACAAGCCCCAAACTATGCACTGGCACCATAAAGAAGTAGGCTACCTATCTTAATGCAGAGGGGACAAAAGCCACGGAGAGGAATTTGGGGTGTCCCAGAATTTGGAAGCGGAGTTAGGAAAAGGAAATTGTAAAGTGCTAAAAATGCTAATATTAATACTAATAATTGTGTCAAATATTTTTATGTTTTCATCATAATAGCACAACCATCTGTGATAACATTTTGGAAGAGTAATGTTGTTAGCTACCACATAAGACTATATTTCAATTGTACCACATCTTTTCTCTGGTAGGAAAGAAATGATTAGGCATTTTATTTCTGTCCCCTTCATTTCTACAGTTATTTGCCTTTTTATTTTTCAGTTTAATATTACTTAAGGAGAAGATGAGTTGCATCTGGGAGATTATACTACATGAAACTATTATTATTCCCAAAAGTGTAATGGGCACTTTACTGTACAGCTAGAAAGATATAGCTCCTGCCACAAAGGGCTTACAATTAGATTTTAGACGAGATGTAAAGAGGGAGGGTAATGAAGTGGTGGGATGGAGTTGAGGGAGCGTAAAGGTTAGCAGCAGTAAGATGAGTTTACGGTTTAGGTATGAGCATATCAGTTTGAAAAGGTAATAGAATTCAGTGAATATCAATTCTAAAGTTCTTACTCTGTCTGCTTTTGTATCTTTTTCTTTTCAGCCACCAATACAGGTATGCACAGGAGACAAATCACTGACCTTTTAGACCAAAGCATTCAGGTTCATTCTCAATGTTTTGTCATCACTTCCGATAATCGTTACATCCTTGTGTGTGGCTTCTGGGACAAGAGTTTCCGAGTTTATTCTACTGATACAGGTAAATATAATCTTTAACACTGTTATAGTCTAGCTTGAATAGTTTGGAATTGAGGAGTAAAGTGGATAGGAACGGTATTCTTTATCCTTTAGTGGCCAAATTGTTTTCCGTTTACTACTACATTTTTTTTCTTCCCTTAAATTATGACACCGGGGAGAGGCTGGGAGAGGGGAGGTGAGAGCAGAGAACTAAGGCAATTCTTGGTTCTCCCACTGTGTATGTAACATCACGAGCAGAAGTTGCTGGTTACTACCTTTGTGTATGCCAAGGGCTCTTGTTTAAGTATATCACCTAATGCCAAATATATTTGTTCTTTTGTATCTGCCTCCCAAGAGGCACACTAAGCTTAACTGTAGATTCACAAGAAAAATAATCTGTTGAATCTTCATGAAGTTTTGCATACTAAGATACTTAATTGTTTTTAGAATACTTACCTGAATGAACTTACGTTGTTCATATATATTGAAGAAAAATAGTTTAAGAAATATGGGCGAAGGCATATGGAAGAGTACCGGAACATATAAAATTTGAGAAAGGAAAACCTTGTAAAGCCATAACGCTTGAGGAGCCCAAAAAGTATATTACAAGGATGGAAATACAGCCTTTAGAAAGAATGAATTTATTCACATCTTGTAATTAGTCAACCTGATTAATATCCGTTAAGTCATTGCAGCAGTTACATATTTCCAAAGAACAAAATTCAAATATATGTCAGGCAAAGTTGAAAAGAATTGAGTGTTGCTGTCATGGAGCATGAGGAAAAATAGGTATGATTTTCTTATAACTGCATTACAGCGCATTTCATTGGGATTAACTATGGTTAATGTTTGTGGGCTATCAGCCTTCTAGTACAGTGGTGCTCAACCATTTTGCTTGGCAATCCTGATGGGCAGTGCCCAGTCCATCCATGGGCTGGATCCAGCTGATGGTCCCATTTCAACACCTGGTTGGATGCAGCACACATAATCTGGCTGTGTAGAAGAAGGAGGGGGAAGGGCACAGGGCTTGACCCATCCCCAACTCAACCCCACAGGGGGAAAGGAGGCATGGCTTGGTCCCAGCTTGGATGCATGGGGGGAGAGGAGGGGGCAAGGGGGTGTGACTTGGGCCCAATCCATCTGCAGGGGTGTGTGGCCCATACCCAGTCCAATTGTACAGGGTGGAGGGGTCATAGCTGAGCTCCACGGATTGAAAATTTTGGCAGCAGGGGGTGGCTATATTAATTGGTCTGCGGACCAGAGTTTGTGCACCCCTGTTCTAGCAGATTATTAATCTCTAAAAAATATCTGATGTTTGTTGTCTGTGCCTAAATAGATTTGTTAATAATGTGTTTTGCATTTGCCAAACCAAAATATTTTATAAAAATCCATTAATATTAAACTTCATAGGAAAATTTGGAGGTGGTGGTATGTCTGTCATTTCTGGAATTTAATATGCCTCTGTTGCAAATGAAAAGTTCCACATGCTATATTTTGACTGCATTTCTTTATGCAGAACCTTTGATTTAATAGCCCCCCCCATATTTTTGAACCTTTAGTGATGTGTTATATATAGAAATCTTCAGAAAATGTTCTACATATTTTCTTGAATGCATAAAATAATTATTGATTGATTTGTTCTTTAGTGTTTCTATGCTGAAAAGTGGACATTTTCAGTGAAAGAACATTATTTTGGTAAACATGACAAATCTTACCTGTAAATATTAAATATTAAGTCATTGTAATTATATTTATGTCATAGTCAGAGATTAGTGAAAAAATTTCTAGCATAACTAATTCTGATATGCTTAAACGTAAAATTGTTATACTTGCTAGGAAAGTTGTAAGAAACAATGTTTATTTCTGGCTCTTCAGTTTGTTAGTATCTGATATACAATCAAAATCTGGCTGAAGTTGCAGTTTATTTTCTTTTAAATTAAAACAAGAATATTGCACTGAAATACTTCTCCAGAATCTGGTGGAATAGCAAGTGAAAAAGACTATGTGATCAGTAATGTGTAATGGCAAGCTATTGTAAGTGTTGATTTCAATTATATTTTAGCACTTACGCAAAAAAAGAAAAAGAGAACCTTTTTTTATTAGATTTTGGTGGGGGTTGTAACAGGAAATACTTTTAACATAAATCATGTATTCTGAGCACTGCTAGTACTGCAGAAGCACAATAAAACCCTTCCTCTAGCAGTGGGAATTAATTTCAGACAGCCCTTTAGATTCAGTAGTGCTGAGATTTGAGTCTGAATTTTTTTTTATTTGTAGCACAGCTGTCAAATAAAACATTAACTAGAAAATTTGTTCTGTCAAAAAAGGGATATCCTAGTGCCTGTGGTAATATTTGATGTTACTGTGTAGAGAGAGGAGGAGTGGTATTAAAGGAAATAAACAAAAAAAAGTTGAACCCCTATGAGATTATTGGAAAGTCATTTTACTAAGATAAAGAGAAACTGAGTATTTCTATTCTGAAGCTTAGGATAAATTGAGTGAGCCTTAGCCCCCAGGACAGTAACAATGCAAAACTAACAGGGTAGTGCAAAAACCATGAGCAACTGTCAAACAAATAAGTTTTGAAGAACGTTTTTCTAGACTGTAAGCCTAAAAGATAACTGCAAAAAATCTCTGAAATTTATAGCTGTTTTAAGAATAAACTTTTATGGTTTAAAAATATGTATCACCTTGAGTAGTTGAATAGCTGCAGAAATATGTGAGAAAACTGGATTGTGTAGTTTAATTCCTATTAAACTTTTAAAAAGTATTGATAAAGAAATGGAAGCTTCATGGAAAATTGTTTTCTGATTTTATATACATATTGCCTGAGGTTTATGTAACATGAAAGTATTTTGCTGCTACCTCCCTAGCTCTGCAGGACAACAGCTTTTGCTGACCCATATTGCTGACCAGCCAGCAATTGACTGGGACAGTTACTTGACCCTGTGACCTAAGTGTAAAGCATTAGCCCAATAATAACTACACTGAGGTGACAAACAGATTTGGAGACCAAAAGAAAAAGTTTTAAATAGAATAATAAAATATAATACAGACTAGACTTACCAGTGTGAATTCCTGGGTTAGATCCTATCCTACTTCTTAGGTGCCTTTGTATAGACTTGTTCTACTCTACTTGGATCCCTGAAAAATGTGAATACATCTACTTTTGTAGTGTTGTTTTGTAACTAAGTTATAAAAATCAATGAGGAGGAAGTCTCCCATTTTAGATTACTGTTTTTTCATGGACCCAGACTGAGTAGAATAGGAACACACATAGGTGTCTGAGCTCACCTGAGTGGCTTAGAAGGTGGTCTTTAGCCTACAGTTTTTAGTTTTATGTCCTGCTATCACAATCAGTTACTTTTCAGACTCATGGAACATTTTTTTTAATTATGAACTTCAACTCTCCTTTCATATATCTGTTATATAACTCTGCCTCCATGACAAAATCATAAAATTTAGTGATGCAGTTATCAGATCACTAAGTTTGTTTCCCTCCAGATACAAGATTGTTCCCTGTAATAAGTATACTTTCTACCATTTTGTCCATTCTAGATTTAAGTCTGCAGTGTGATAGATCTTCCTTCCACCATGTGTCTGTCTTCAGACTTTCTCTGTCCTACCTTGGGGGTCTTCAAGAGGAGGCTAGACAGATATTTGGCTGGGGTGATATGACTTCGGCACTCGTTCCTGCCCGGGGCAGAGGGTCAGACCTGACGATCTGCTAAGGTCCCTTCTGACCCTAAGTACTATGATATTGTGATTAGTCCAGCTCAGTACCTCTCCCTAGCAGTCTTTTTCTGATATCCAGCTTAAATTTTATTGTAAAAGCACCATAGTACTCCCTTGTGTACCACACTAAATAATTCCTCTCTTTCCAAGATATGTTGCCGCCTCCTGAAATTTTTGGTGGTTTTCTCCATCTTAGACATTATCTAGGGCCTTTAGTTTTGCATTATAAAACAGTCTGCCTAGCTCTTTTTATTTTTGTTGCTCTTTACTTGCTCTACTTGATTTCTAGTTTGTTTTCTTTTGTATAAATTTGGTGCTCGTAAATCAATGCAGTATTCTGAATGCAGCTGTCATGGAGCAGTGTAAAGAAAACATATAAGCTCTTACCTCTCAGCTGTGTAGATGCTTGGTGCTTTGGATCATGTACATGATCCAAAACTATATTGCCGTTTCTTTCTACCCCTTTATAGAAATTAATGTCTAATATGATGTCCACTACTAATGCATGTCATTTTCAGTATTATGACTTCGCTGTTTCCCATTATCTTTAATGCTTCAGAACTATTTTCCCCAAGCAATATAGGCTGCACTTTTTAAAAGTTGATTCTTATCTTTTTGCCATGTTTTGTAAACTAAGGCTATCACGCTTCCATAATTTATCTTTATTTCCTAATATTTCAGTTTTTCATTGGTAATATGTGTTAATGAGCATTTTACTCTTTCTACTTGATTGTTAAAAAAAAATAAATACAGAGTATCCCATCTCCCAGTCCGAATTGCCAGATCCTAGGAGCAAGATGGATGTTTAGGTTAAAAAGTATAATGGGTAGCATTCTTGTTTATAGGCTCATGCATTGCACATTTTTCACCGTGTAGCTGAAGTTGAGTTTATCTAGGTTTAGTTTGTTATTAGTTTTTATGTATGTATATAGGCCTTGAGAATTCGCACTGTATATAAGAAAAACTGAGCTCTTTGTGTATGACTTCTGAACTTTTATGGGTATTGTTAATGTTCTTGAAATCTTTTTGAAATGAGTGGTTAATGTACAGTATGTGACAAAGGAACTAAGGTAGAAATTTAATATTTTACAAAATGTCTTGGTTTCATTTTTTGTAGTTAAATGGTGAAAAATAGGACATGTTAATTTTTTCATATAACTTGCACACTAAAAATCTCCCTTATACCCCAGCTGTTTAGGAATCTCTATGCACCATCGGTAGGTTTATATTATATGCTCCTTTCATCAGTAAACATTTAGAAACAAATTCTGCCATTTTTTCTCGTTGCTCAATGTGTTTTAATGCATAATTCCTACAAAAAAACCTTTTTAATATGTTTCAGGTAAACTGATACAAGTAGTGTTTGGGCACTGGGATGTTGTTACCTGCCTTGCCCGTTCAGAATCCTACATTGGAGGAAATTGCTACATTCTCTCAGGCTCACGTGATGCAACACTGCTGCTTTGGTACTGGAATGGTAAAACCAATAACATTGGTGACAACCTAAATGGTAGGTAAAACCTATATTATATGTAAATTGGCTGCAAGTGGCATAATACAACACCTGTTATTACAAAACTGTGTGTAATACTAAAAATCAAAGTACATGTTCAAGGTTTCTTTTCCACAGGTGGTGTTATTCTTATCAACTAAGGATGTCATAGAAATCATAGAGAAGTAGAGTTGGAAAGGGGTCCAGAAGACCCCCTCCAGAGGTCATCTAGTCTAGCCCCTGAGGCAGGGTCATCCCTATCTAAACCATCAGTTAGATCCATAATATAACCTCTCCATCAATCCTAACACAACACCAGACATAACACTAACCTGCCACAGGTAAAGTATGGGAACCACAACAGCCAGTGTCCTGTTTCTTATATAAAGTTGTTAATATATGCTCAAGAGATCTCAGGTAGACTACAGAGGAAGGCAGAAACCCCCATAGTCCATACCAATCATACCAAGTCCTTCCTGACCCAAATATAGTGATCAGTCTGCTGAGCAGAGGGGCAAGATCCTCTTGCCAGGAACCGCCTCCAGCTTTGGTCCCAGCAGGAACATCCTAGGCAAAATCTCCTGCCTTCACTAATTAAGTATGAGGAGAGCTTATTTTGACCACACAATGTAGAGATACAGTTGTACGAATCATAACATTTATAGTCTAAATGTTTGCCTCCCACACCTTGTAACTTTTTTTGAGGGAAAAACCCCTTTCTGCCTGAAGTTTTGCATTCTTATTGTTACAAGTAAGGAGAAAACTGTTTCAGAAACCTAGAAGTCAGTTGGGCTTGCTACTTCACATTGTATTTGTGCATTTTATAATCAGTCACTTTAACATGAATCATTCAGTAAAAAAAAATCTTTATCAATCTTTTTTATTTAAAAAAGTGTATGTTCAGATACTGAATCCTCTGTTCACACTGTCATATTGTTATGGTCATCAATAAGGATGTGCACAACTACTCCTTAGTGAGAACAAGGAGTCAGGTATACAGTGGATGGATGAAAGTGACAAGCCACAAATATATTAATTTAATACTAGGGAGTTGTGTTTTGTGCCTTCTCCCTGTTTTCACATACCAGATGCTTTAATTGGTTTCAGTGCAAGTTATTGGCCTTGCAGCTTATAACCAAACCAGTAGCTCAGAGAAAACCTGCCTCAGCCTGTTCCTGGCATTCATCTCGGTTCATGAACCTCAGGTTCTCCACCTTTCCTATAAACACAATGTCTATCAGCAGACTCCAGTAACTATTCCTCTGGGATCTTGGCCTCTTTGTTTTTTGCCTCCTGGCACACTCCTTGGGCCATTGGCTCAAGTTACAGTGAGCTAATACTTCTGCCTTCCTGACATTAAATTTTGAAACCATGTTGCTTTCACTCAGGCTGTGCCTTCTGAATGGTATGAGAAAAGCAAAGCAGAAAGGAAAAAAAAAGTACCCACTGGACCTTATGCCAGTTTATCCCCACAGGAAACATTTTTTTTCTGATACCAGAATAATCAGTAAGACATATCCAAAGCATCCTAAAAAAAATGACGTGCCCTTAGTACAATTAAGGGGAGATGAAAATGGAGAAGCTACTAGTAGAGGCAAGAAGCTTTTAAAACTGAAAGAGAGTGTAAATAATTGGAAGGGGTATATGAAAGCCAGCTAGTAAGGAGGTGAAGGAATGGAGGAAGGGGAAAGTTGGCAGCATATGCTCTTGATTTCTGTCCTGTTAACATCCATGCCAAGATCCCTTGTGTCCCCAGTGAATGTGATGAAGGGGGAGGAATAAAAAAACTTGGTGTCCTCCAAAGATAAAAGGGTTTAAGACAACCCTGGTTAAAAACATACCCAGTAAAAAAGATATTTTTAATCTGGTATAAGCTGTAGTTTTTTGATACAGTACCTGATAGCTTCCAGTCTGTAGTGTCATGGAATAATATCTTCAATAAGAATTGCACATGTTTTTTCAGTTATATTTGACTTTGAAAAACTGGTAATGGTTCAACTTAAAAAAAAAAAGAAGAAACTCCTGGAACTATTTATGAAAAGGTTGACTGAATAAATTTGAGATTATTATTGATACTTGATCTTCTGAGATTAAATGATGTGTGTTCATTTTTGCCACTGGTCATAAAGTCCACAAACTGCAAAGCTATTACTCAAGCAGATTACTAAATCTGCAGGCACAGTGTAATTTAAATGACCTGAATCAAAGCGATGGAAAATCTTCCTAGATATGGTTAACATTTTGTAAGTACAAGAAGTGAGTATCTAGGGTTCAAGAAGAACAGAGTCTCTGCAGGCACAATAAGCATGCATTGCTGTCTGTTGGCTCAGGATAAGTGCAAACCTTGTAATATTCCTGAGGAGCCTATACACATAGGAAACCCTGAGAAAATCCTATTTTAGGAACTTAGGCTTATATAGGAAGCATAAAAAAAAAGCCTTAGTAGCAATAGTATAACTTGGTTTGTGTGGAGGGTGAGGGAAGGGAACAGGGGGTAAGCAATGCATCAACTCCGGGTGCCAGTTCAGAGGGGGCATGAGAATGGCAGCCCCCATGGAGCCAGCATGACTGTTACCACTACTGCAGCTGCTGTTGGGGGAGTTGGGGCTGAGGTGGTAACAGTTTCCACCTGTGGCTGCCTCTGCATGGAGAAATAAGTGATTCCTACCCCCACCCTGCCACCGCACCCCCCAGGGTGCCAGAATTTCAATACATGTATGCTTAGTAATTTACTGCTATGAAACACTGAAGATTTGCTGGTGCTGCCAACCATGATTACAAGGTTCACAAGTAGAGCCTATTTTGTACAGATCTGTAGACCTAGTTTGGGGAATGCACTTGTCACATTCCCAGAGCTACCCAGGCCTGTTTACTTTCATACTGTACTTTTGTATTGTACGCTTCTCTGAGACCAGTACAAACCACTTGGCAGGCTGAGATTTTGTATCTTTTGGTGACTAGATTTCATAAGTTCAGTAGCTACCTCATCTCGTGCAAAGGGGTTTTCCAGTGTTTTAGATAAAGCATTCAATTCTTTTTGTTTAAATCGGCTTTTTATTTAAACTAAGCTTTATTTAAAGTTAATATATTTAAAAATAGACTTATTTAAAATTACATTTGGAATTATAACAAATTTTGCTGAGGCCCAACTGATCAACTTCCTATGTTATAGTAAACCTACCTTTTCATTTTGTGGGGCAAATTTGACATAGTTTTATTTAACAAATAAAATAGCTGGCTACCTCTTGAAGATGTTTTAAGGGAACTAATAAACTTTATATGTAAAATTTATTTTTATGAAATGATAGGTGTAACAGGTACAAAATGAAATTTGTTAATTCCTACGTTTCAAGCCTTATTCAGTGATCTCTGTATATATCAAATTTGTAACAAAACCTGTACACCATGAAGACTTTTTATATCTATGTTTCTTCTTGCAGAGGTTATAAGGTGTCAAACTTAAATAAAGTGCTTGAATAAGCCCCAGAGAAGCTATAATCTATGTTGACATCCATATATTATGATATCCACATACATTATTAGCTGTATTTTTATGATAGTCTTCTCTGGATTATGTGTGAAAACACTTATTATATTTTATACAGGTATAATTAAGAGGAAAATTTTATCCTGTGAAAGTAGTATTAAAAGTCAGCTGTACGGTTGCCAATAGTAAATATAAAATATATATAAAAATAATGTAGATTGTTTATGCTTGTGATGTCTTGTCCACTGATGTAGCCGGAGCTGGAACTGATGTCAAATTTCATTTGGTCCCTTAAAAAAATTCCAAACAAAAAGTGTTTTGCAGTTAAAACAATACCCCTTGCCTCTGTTAAGATAGGACTAAGACCACAGATAACTCTTAAATGTGCTGTTAAACTATACTGAGATATTAAAACAGTAACTGAAAGTGAATTCTTTGCAAATATTTATTCTTGCAGATATGAAGGAAAGAAATGTCAGAAATCCTTGTCTACCCTAATCTTATGGTAGTTAAGAACCTAAAACAAGAGTACTTCATTAGCTGTAATTAGATCAGGTCTGGGCTGAGGAAGGGTGCTTTGGCTAGGAACAGGCATTACACTTTTACTGGTAAACATGATTGGAAACTGGTCTGTATCTGTAACAGAACAGAAGTTGAACACACAAAGCCAGTCTGTGCCCATAACAGAACAGAAATTTGGCCCACACAGACTCGTTTAAAAATGGTAGAACCCAATCTGGGATTTGCATCCCCCCCCCCCCCCCCCCCCCCAAGCAAAGGACGAATGTGTACTCTGTTCGTTCGCTACCGATCCAAACTACGCTGCTTACGCTAAACTGCGTAACTTAGATTGATTCTGTCTCAAGCTTTTTGGAAGTCTGTACCTGGCTTTTAAGCCTGAAAGTTCCCCCAACTACACAGTTGCTCCAATTAAAGTTATCACCAAAGAAAAAGAAAAAGAAAAAAACCCCACCCTTGCTGCTTGCATATTTCTTGGACCATCGTAGCTATACTCTAACCCTACCAAAATGTTTTGTTGCCATGTGTGCATTATGGCCACAGGACATCGCATTTATTCATTTTTTGTGGGTTTTTTGTATTCTGGTAGTGCCTGGAACCTCCAGTCAGGGATTAAGCATCCTATTGTGAGATGTCTGAATACTTGCCCCAAAGAGCAGTGGTCTACATTTTCTTCAGCTCTGTGTAGTGTCTAGTCAAAACATTCTGGAAAGGAATACCAAAAGTAATGTTCTGTCCAGTTCTGATTTTGTCAGCTCCAGCCAGGATACTCTAGGAAAAGAATAATAGCAGTATAATTGTCTGGTTTTCATGTTAGAGATTTATAGCCTTGATCTGGCAACTGATTCAGCAGAAGCAGACTTCTATGCTCCAGTCCTATGGAGCACACTTAAGTCAGCGAGCTCCACTCACATATGCTCATGTAGGTTGGAACTACAGGTATTTAATCAATTTATCCATTTGGACTTATGTATTAACAGCCTCAAATTTATTACCTTAAAACAGATTTTTT